AAAGTGGATTTTGCATAATAAGTTACCTTTAAAGTATTCTAATGTGTTTAAGGACCCTTGCTTTATAACTCAATATGACTCTGCAGAGGCTCAGGAGCAGAGGTCGCGTTAACCGAATATTTTCCGTCTATGACGGATTTGTTTTAACAATGACGGAAAAATCTGAAAACAGTCCGTCATTTTGACGGATTAGAACAAACTCGGAACAGCGCCAAAGTTTCCCAGCAGCGAGGCTCCGGTGTTAAGCATGCCTGCCAAAAAGGAAATTATACCGTTTCCAAACCCAACTTTGCCGTACAAATCATTGAAATGTCTGTGAGTTTTGGCTTTACGCTGTGCGCACTCCCGCGAGGTGCAGTGGGCATGCATAACACGGCGCTAACAGTTCACAAGCGTGCGCCCCGCCCCCCGTTGACAGTTCACGACTGTGCTCTCCCCCCCCCCCTCCCTCGGTTGACAGTTCTCTCTCTCTCTCTCTCTCTCTCTCCCCCCCCCCCCCCCCCCCCCCAGAGTGTAAAGGTCGACGGGTAATTTTACGATCCTGTCCGTCGAAATGACGGGCAGTGAAAAAGTCTAGCGCAACCAAGGTCGTCCTTCAATCAGAAGTTTGTTGTTTAACTCCAGCGCCTGCGGTCAACATGTCAATGTGTCCTTCAACAAGATACATAACCCCGAATTGCCCCCGGTGCTTGGCCAGTTGCGTGTGAATGTGGGAGGATGTTGGTTTCCTTGAGCATGCCTCTGCCTATGTATGAATGTGTGTATGCCTTCTACCATATGACTCCAATGTGTCCAATATCATTTATCAATATCATAAATGCTTTCAAAACATTTTCAAAGCTAGTATAGACACAAACTCCATGTCACACTGTAACTTAAACACACCAAGTTCAAACCGGCTTTACAATAAGCCTCTTGTTTGCATACACCAAAGCCTAATCCTGCTAATGTCAGAATTAGCTTTTGGCTATTCGGCTAACAAATGACTAAATCTTGAAAGGCTTGACTTGTCACTTCATGTCTTTTAGCAGAGAGTTGTGATGTTTCTCTGCCCCTAGGCTGAATTCCTGCTGCTGTCTTTTCTTTCCGTACTTTACAAACTCAAGTTGACTTCAATGAGCTCAAACCTTGCAAATGTTCTCTAAGCTCTTATGAGTTCCTCAAAACTTCTGATTTCTGACAAAACAAAAGGTCAGGAGATTAAATATATGTACAGGTTTGATTCAATACTTAGATAGCTGTCTTTTTTGCCTGTTCTAAAATGCACACTCATGATATGAAATGATGTGTGTTACTTTTAGGCCATAAGGTGAACCCTGTTATCGTTTCATCCCGCTCCACAGAAGTGGAACTACACAATCTTTAGTTCATAAAAAAGAACGAGTCATGCTTATCCACCAAAAAAAAGTTTGTCGCTAAAATTCCTGTCAATTCTTCTAGGCACGTAATTATTGGCTGAACTAGTCCCTTCAAAGCGTAATAATATCTTGGTCAAAAGTAGTGCCACGGTCCGTCACGTGATCGTGCTACACCAATTGGGTAGCTGCATATACCGGTATCAACAAACAGATTTGGAAAAAATGGCGACCGCCATGGTTTCATCGAGTAGCGGGGACGAGGAAAACGCACCAGAAAGTCTCAAAAAGTCAAAATGATCAACACACAAACATTGTTACATGCATATTACGTCTGTGAAGCACGACAAGGTTGATTGTTTTACCAATACAAGATGGAATACGTACAGGACAAGCTTACAACGGTGGCATTGATTTTGAAGTTACAAATACAATATTATCATATTACAATAATAATAATAATATAATATATATATATATATATATTATATATATCTATAATAATAATATATATATATCTATAATAATAATCTATATATATCTATAATAATAATCTATATATATCTATAATAATAATCTATATATATATAATAATAATCTATAATAATAATAATAATGCAATTCATCAAATTATTATATGATGAATGAGTAAATAAATGAATCAATGGTCATTGGTATAAGTACTGCATTTTATTGATCTAAATTACTTAACGTAACAAGTTAACCTTCTTGGACGCAGCTATGTATGAAATCAAGTCATGTTTATTGTAAGAGTGCATTTAACGTGTACAGGGTAACAATAACAACAGACAGACAGACAACAAGTCCTCAGTCTAATGGAATAATCCACGAGCTCAGCCAATGAACCTAGCGATGCGAACATGGTAGTCCAGGAATGTTGTTGTAGCTGGAGTTGGCTGATAAACGCTGCTAGCCAATGTTGATTCGATGGTCAACTCTGTTCCCAGATTGTAAAACCTCTCACAAATACCGCGTATATAACGCAAATACCTCGGACTTAGTGATGTATTAAGACATATGACAAAACATGACATAAAACAAGCATACAGCACTGTTTAGAATCCATTTGGTCTGGTTTAGCGTAACCATGTAGGCGGCCATCTTTCACTTCTGTTGACAATATGCAGCTACCCAATTGGTGTAGCACGATCACGTGACAAACCGTGGCACTACTTTTGACCAAGATATTATTACGCTTTGAAGGGACTAGTTCAGCCAATAATTACGTGCCTAGAAGAATTGACAGGAATTTTAGCGACGAACTTTTCTGTGGTGGATAAGCATGACTCGTTCTTTTTTATGAACTAAAGATTATGTAGTTCCACTTCTGTGGAGCGGGATTTATTTTCTAAAGGACTTTTCGAGGTTCACCTTGCGGCCTATTTGGTCATTTTGCCAAGTTGTATATTCATATCAATCAACTAAAAGTTCCTTGATCAGAGTTTCTTCATCAGAGTTTCCTCAATGTCCAAATGTGCCAATAAGAATTGAGTACTCCACTAATATGTGCAATAAACTGAATGATCATCCGGCCCTATAACAAAGCTGTTTATTGGCACTATATCGGACAGGGCCACTATGTTAAATTGCTTTAATGAGCATTTTGTGTCCTGTGGTTCTCTGTTTGATTCTGTCACTAACTCTGTTTCTGTGAACACCACAGTCTGTGACTCTGAAAAACGTGTTTTGGAAAACCCTTTTAGTTTTACTCCTTTTACTGTTAATGTTGTTCGTGAAGCTTTAACCAAGTTAGAACATAAGAAACCGGCCGGCCCGGACAACGTAGAACCTTTCTTTTTAAAGATAGCTGCAGATTTTATTGCTCCACCTCTCACTACTCTTTTTAACCTCTCCCTCAGCACGAACACAATTCCAAAATTGTGGAAGTCAGCGTATGTCCTGCCTCTACTAAAAGTTGGGGAGGCCACTTTATTAAATAATTATAGGCCCATCTCTAAATGATCAGTTCTGGCTAAAGTTCTTGAACGCCTAGTGAGTGAACAGTTAAAGGCAAGGAAAGGAAAGGCAAGTTTATTTATACAGCACTTTTCTGTATGTGACAATTCAAAGTGCTTTACAAAACAAATTTAAAAGACTTTTTAGGAATAAATACATTAAAAACACATTATACAATTTTACAACAGACATTACAAAGCAAAGATAATATAATAATAAAAATAAACACCACAGGTATACAATACATGTTTAAAAGGCATACTGTAGTTCCAATATGAGCAGCTCAATTAAAAGCAGCGGCAAATAGATATGTTTTTAGTCTCGATTTAAAAATAGTAAGCGTTTCTGTGGACGTGCATGATTTGGGTAGTTTATTCCAGAGTGTCGGGGGTTAATAGCTAAATGCTGCCTCTCCATGTTTTGTTGATACTCTCGGAACCGATAGCAGACCCGTCCCAGAAGACCTGAGGCACCTTGATGGCTCGTAATTATGCAGGAGTTCAACAATATATTTTGGTCCTAAACCATGTAATGATTTAAAAACTAGCAATAGTACTTTAAAATCAATTATTTGGCCGTAAAGGTGTTTTTATGTACAAATGACATCCTGTCTAAACATCAGTCAGGCTTCAGAAAGCAACATAGCACCATCACTGCCACAATGAAAGTGGTGAATGATGTGGCGAGTATTTTAGATAATAAGCAGAGTTGTGCAGCTCTATTTGTTGACCTGTCCAAAGCGTTTGATACCGTCGATCATCGCATTTTGAAGCAGAGGCTGGTCAGTATTGGCATATCCAGCCATGCAGTGGGGTGGTTTGTAAACTACCTCTCTGAAAGGTCCCAATGTGTTCATTTTGATGGGCTGTCTTCTGAGTGGTTAAACATTACTAATGGTGTTCCTCAAGGTTCTGTTTTAGGTCCACTTTTATTCTCCATCTACATCAATAGTTTAGGTGAAAATGTCGATGGAGCAACCTTACATTTTTATGCGGACGATACCGTGATGTACTGTGCAAGTCCCTCCATTAAGGAGGCTGTTGTTGAATTGCAAGCTGTTTTTAACATTATTCAGACTCAGCTCTCTGAACTAAAGCTTCTTTTAAATGTTGATCAAACCAAGGTAATGCTCTTTTCAAAAACCTGTTACAAATACCTTGGGGTAACATTTCAGGGTAAGCCAATCAGAGACAGAGTTGGGCGGGTCTTGCCTTATGGGGAAAATACGGAAAATACACAGACACACAAACACTTGCTAACACACACACATACACGGCAACGCCCACCACCAGTATGGCGTTATATTTGTGCCTCTATCCTGAGCACGCAATGAAACATGTTGAGCATAGAAAATGCTATTGAGCGCGCACTCGAACATTTTTGAGCACAGAGAAATATATTTTCTTTCATAAAACTCCTGCTCCGTGCGCAAGCAGACCGCTGCACGCGCTCTCTCTCCATCGCTTGCTCGCCCTCTCCAGCCTGTGCGCGCTCATCTTTGCCTGCGCTCGCTCAAGTTGTCACAGAGTTACAAATGTGCCACAAAACCAACCAATCGGAGGACTCGAGAAGGTCAATTCTGATTGGCTGGTCGTCTCCAATCATATCTTCTATCTGAGATAGGAGAAGAGAGGGATTTTCGGTTGCCATCAGGCTGGTGAAGTTCTTATTATCGTTGACATTTACAGGACATGACAGACTCGAACGAAGACATTGCTACGCCACAGTGTCAGGTGAGTTATACATTTCTAGTTTTCTGATATCACGTTATTGTTTGCAATACCTTTGACGAAACCTTTTATCCGATCGTTTCAGATAAGGGTGAGTTTGCTAGCCGGCAACATAGCTATATGGGTAGTTTAAGCAAACAGCTAACAAACCGTAGCCTAATATTAGCGCTAGTTTCATGTCGAATTGTTGGAATTTTAACTGAAAATATGATCATGTTAATGTTACATCCTGAATTGATTGTGATCGCTACAATTAGATCGCTAGATACAGAATTGTGGAAGCTTTATGAAAAAAATAAAAAGATGACTGATTAAGTGATTATAGTAGATTTGTTCTTGTAATTATTGACTCATATTTCAGAAATGCTTTTTAATTTACTGTATTATAGGGCTGTAGGATTAACATTATATGTCTTCTTATCTTGAGACATCGGCTGTTGTGTGAGTAACGAAAGTTTGACTCATCCTTCTCTAGCAATCCCAGCTGGCACAACATCCGACAATGTGGAATGAACAGCAACACCAAAATGTCACAGCAAGGCCACATGTAAGTCGTTTTTGATTTGGTTGTATACTGTGTCTTATGAACCTTTATGAAATTCAGTTTGTATGTTTATCTGTACATTATTAGCTTGTGAACTAGCTATCTTGGTAGGTTGCTAATGCTATCTAATTTCATGTTTGAATAAAGCTGTAGTATAAAGTTAAAGCCCGAAAAAGGAAGTTTGACGATATAGCGGTTAAATATAAAATGCAATTGATCAACTACGTTGATGTTTTAGGCAGAGTGTGCAACATCTCATTGGCTATGGCCAGGATGCTATACGGGGTTGACACTAAAAGGCTTCATATTAATTTGCTGAAAGTGTTGCTTTGTGCTCATTGAAAATACGATTTTGATGTTGATATATACTGTAATGCCTATGGTGCACAAATACTGAGAATGGACTTTACAGTGAACTAGGAGGCATCGTGTTGCAGTTAAACTTGTGAAATGAAACATATTTGCATATTTATAGGTTCTGACATTTTTAAGGAGGGAGGAGTAGATGTCATTTTAAGGAGATAATTTAACTTGTTTTGTGGATAAACTTTATCAGACTAATTATTATTTGATATTATATAAGGGGTAAATGTAACGTTATTACTACACTGAACAAAAATATAAACGCAACACTTTTGTTTTTGCTCCCATTTTTCATGAGATGAACTCAAAGATCTAAAACATTTTCTATATACACAAAATAACCATTTCTCTCAAATATTGTTCACAAATCTGAAAGAATCTGTGATAGTGAGCACTTCTCCTTTGCCGAGATAATCCATCCCACCTCACAGGTGTGGCATATCAAGATGCTGATTAGACAGCATGACTATTGCACAGGTGTGCCTTAGGCTGGCCACAATAAAAGGCCACTCTGAAACGTGCATTTTTGCTTTATTGGGGGGGTCTGGGGGGGTCCGAAAATCAGTCAGTATCTGGTGTGAGGGGTAGGGTTAGGGTTAGGGTAATGTTGTGAATCGAGTGGCCCACGGTGGTGGTGGGGTTATGGTATGGGCAGGCGTATGTTATTGACAACGAACACAGGCCACTCGATTCACAACATTACCCTAACCCTAACCCTACCGCTCACACCAGATAATGACTGGTTTTCGGACCCCCCCCAGACCCCCCCAATAAAGCAAAAATGCACGTTTCATGTGCAGGCGTATGTTATGGACGACGAACACAAGTGCATTTTATTGATGGCATTGTGAATGCACAGAGATACCGTGACGAGATCCTGAGGCCCATTGTTGTGCCATTCATCCACGACCATCACCTCATGTTGCAGCATGATAATGCACGGCCCCATGTTGCAAGGATCTGTACACAATTCCTGGAGGCTGAAAACATCCCAGTTCTTGCATGGCCAGCATACTCACCGGACATGTCACCCATTGAGCATGTTTGGGATGCTCTGGATCGGCGTATACGACAGCGTGTTCCAGTTCCTGCCAATATCCAGCAACTTGGCACAGCCATTGAAGAGGAGTGGACCAACATTCCACAGGCCACAATCAACAACCTGATCAACTCTATGCGAAGGAGATGTGTTGCACTGCGTGAGGCAAATGGTAGTCCCACCAGATACTGCCTGGTTTTCGGACCCCCCCAGACCCCCCCAATAAAGCAAAACTGCACGTTTCAGAGTGGCCTTTTATTGTGGCCAGCCTAAGGCACACCTGTGCAATAATCATGCTGTCTAATCAGCATCTTGATATGCCACACCTGTGAGGTGGGATGGATTATCTCGGCAAAGGAGAAGTGCTCACTATCACAGATGTTTTCAGATTTGTGAACAATATTTGAGAGAAATGGTTATTTTGTGTATATAGAAAATGTTTTAGATCTTTGAGTTCATCTCGTGAAAAATGGGAGCAAAAACAAAAGTGTTGCATTTATATTTTTGTTCAGTGTAGATTCTGTTTGCAGAGAAAAAGACAAGGGTTCCACCCTGACAATAAAAATAAACACAAACAACAGACACATCTCTAATAAAGGACTAGTAAAAGTACAAGTATACCCTGCTCAAACAAATCTCAAAATATTTAAAAAAACATTTTAAGAAGGAAAACACTAGTACAAACATGGACATTCAAAATTCACAATTAAATAAATAAATAAAAATAGGCATCTGTGTGACGCTCCTATGATGTGTTAATTTGTGCAATAGCTGCTGGGATAAAACTGTTTTTATACCGCTTCGTTCTACTCCTTGGGACAAGTAACCTCCGGCCCGAAGGAAGAAGCTTGAATTCTGAGTGCAGAGGGTGCGAGTCATCGTCTAATATGGAGCTGGATAACCGCCTGATAACTGCCTGAGGTACAGGGTCTCCAGGTTTAGCTGTGGCTCACCAATCAGTCTGCTTGACCACTTTATGATCTGACTCAGAGAGTTTCTGCTCTTTAAAGTCAGGTTACCAAACCATGACATTAGTGAAAAAGACAGAATTGACTCGATAAAAGCACGATAAAACATAATCATCATGGTTTTGTCAATGTTAAAATAGGTCAATTTCCTAAGACAGTACAAACGCTGGTGCCCCCTTTTGCACACAGCTTCACAGTTTGGATCAGAGCTCAATTTTGAGTCAATAATTGTCCCGAGATATTTGTATGATTGCACACATTCTACTTTCTGATTCTGGATTGTTAAGACTTCATGTATGTGGGGATGTCTTCTAAAATCAATGATCATGTCCTTGGTTTTGCTTATGTTCAGTTGTAGATAGGACTCCTCACACCACCTGACAAAGTCGTCAATGACAGGGCCGTGGCTGGTCTCATTGTCCTGGAGCCTACTAACAATTACAGAGTCATCTGCATACTTTAAAATAGTCCTATTTTCCCACCTACTTTGACACATATTAGTGTAAAGTATAAATAATAGTGGTGAAAGGACACATCCTTGTGGGGAGCCAGTGGAGGAGCTGACTTGATCAGATAAGGTCCCATTCACCCTCACTCTTTGTGTCCTATTGATTAAAAAATCAAGAATCCAGCCCATAAGATTATTGCTTATTTCAAATTGTTCTAAAAGTCTGCCAATTAGAATATGAGGTTGAATTGTGTTAAACGCAGAGGAAAAATCAACAAATAAAAGTCTAGCATGAGATCCAATTCCCTTCAAGTGTTTCAAAAGTAAGTCAGATAAGGTGACCATGGCATCCTCCACTCCTCTGTGTGGCCTGTAAGCAAACTGCATGGGATCGAGTGCATGCTCAGTCTTCCTTAAGATTTCTGCTCTGACTAGTTTTTCCAATGTCTTCATTAGAATTGATGTAAGTGCAACTGGTCTAAAATCGTTAAGAGTTTTTGGGCCTCTGGATTTGGGGACAGGGACTACCACAGCATCCCTCCAAACCTTTGGCACATGCTGTGTCTGTAAAGACATATTAAAAATGTCGTGGAACACAGGGCTACATTCTTTTGCGCAAAGTTTAAGTAAACGACCGCAGATGTTGTCAGGTCCATGACTCTTATTTATTTTTACTAAACGAAAGGCCTTTTCCACTTCCCTCTGATCTATGTTAAAATGCTTATTGTCTGCTTGATATCTCTGATGTGGTTCACCTCTTTGGTGTGCACTACATCTTTGTCCCTCGACTTCGAGCAGACCTTGACACCTTTATCCAAGGATGGAATAATCATCCTCTAAGGACAGAGGGAGGTCTCACTCCTGAACAGCTGTGGTGTATGGGACATCTACAAGATCTAGACGAAGGGGAGAGACTTGAGGTAACAGTTATAGAGTTCCCATTAAATATATTTTAAAAAAACAATTGAGTTGCAAAGGGGTGTGGCAGGCAGATATATCTAGTTTCAATGTCAATTGGACAATGGAGCATGAAAGCCAAAATTATTTTTTAAATATGTATTTCTAAACAACATGGTTAAAAGGTCTGAATCAATGTGAGCTTCTGTCTTCAATTGTGCATAGATATGCTGTAATTCAATTGTTTCCATCTATAAACCTTACAGTTCTGTTGCATTGAGTGATGAGAGGCATATCTGATAACATTATTGGAAACAGCAACCTGTTCAATAACTAGTATTTATAGAATAATACAACTTTGAGTAAACAAAATCACCTTTATGTAACATGTTTATTTTTAAAAATCACACGTTACATAAGTGTATGAAAATACTTCATGTACTAAACTTATTTGAATTGTTTTCCTGGATCCTTAGGAACTTCAAGACCCAGGCATCGACTGGGAGAGTACCATACTGATATTCTGTACAAACTGTGAAGACCACTGAGACAAATTTAACATTTGTGATATTGGGCTATATAAATAAACATTGATTGATTGATTGATACTGCAAGAAGACTCGAACGGGGCAGTTGTGGTTCCTGAAGTTGTGTGTGCCCCCTGGATGACGAAGACCTAGAAGAACTTCAGAGAACTGTTGATCCTCTGGAACATTCTCAGTCACATGACTTGTACACACGATTCTTGTACAGTGTGTGCAATGACAATTGAACGTGAACTTATAAACTGACACATTAGCTGATTAAAACAACCTTGGTTAACAGATATCTGTTGAGAATACACAGAGCCCAACCATTGGTCCTTATTTGCCTTTTTGCTTGTCTGATGTTTTGTTAAAAAACTTTGCAACAATGTATGCTTTCCCAACTAATAAAAGCACGACTTCATCAAACAGCCATTAACAAATATATTTAAACATATATACACTCAGCTCTTGCCTTAGTTTGAGTAGAGCTAGTTGTTTTAAACTCTGTGGAATCCACCACCATATCTCACTGCTTCACCCATGATTCTTCTAAAGTCAGTGTAAGTGCTGAGATGCTTTACTGGAAAGTCACAGTTTTAGTGCACGCACTCACAATTGGGTAACAAATTAAGTGATCTCCTAGCCGCTCCCTGCAGTCATGGTCAAATGTGCATGTTATTTTGAAATGTCTCTGTTCATCAGGGAGGATGGGGATGTGGGCCCCGTCATCCACTGGAGCACGTGTGGCACTGCAAGAGGCTCCTTGTCACCAGCTGCACTGTCTGTCTCCCCATCTGTGACAGATGTATATTTTAAATAACACATTTAAGAAAAGCAAATATCCAAGAACATTTATTAGGTATATGCTCAGTACATTAAAATCAGTAAAGCATTCATTCATATGTGTACTGCATTCTACAGTATATCATACCTGACATTTCACCTTCCTCTCAGTTCTCTCCTTAGACGTCCCTTTTTCGCTAAAACGTGGCTGGCAGTTCATCATGATGAAATCTGCATCAGGCTATAAAGAGAGTGAATGCAGATTTAGTTTAATATCTTGTGTTCAAACCAAAGCTATTAAGGCAATACAGAATGAAAAGTACAATACAAAAGAAGAATAGAGTCTAAACATAAATAAATAGTGGCAGTTAAAATTCTTACTTTGGTGATCTTCCCCGGAACAAATAAGGAGTGACAAGCTTCAGGGTTTCTAGCCATCTGATCCACCAGGCCATACAGCTCCATGCCCTTTCTGAGTTGCTGCAGCATTGGAATCAGTCTTGTTGTGGAATGTAAGACAATTGCTATTTGAAGAAAAGCAGAAAGAAATTAAACACTGGTTTGAAAAATAAACATTTTAAAATTCATATTATCCGAATGATGCTGTCTTTATTGTCCAGTTTGAGCTGGCTTGTATATCCACAGCTGACAATTTCATCAGCCCACAACATCAGAGACTGCTCATCTGCAGAATCTTCGACCTGAGAATGTGCAACATTGAAATAAAGGACAGATTTACAATAGGTGTTAAAACATAGATCTAATTCATATCTAACAATGCTCAACAGAGTACTCACCTTGCTGATGAGAAGACCGGATTCTATATCAGAAACATCCTCCTTTGAAAGTGAATGAATGTCCTCCTCTCCTGTTCAGAGGAAGTTGTAGCACTACGCTCTCACCTTGTGCGATGCTTACTAACATTATTTCACCAATAGTTCTGTGAGTGAGTGAGTGAGTGAGTGAGTGAGTGAGTGAGTGAGTGAGTGAGTGAGTGAGTGAGTGAGTGAGTGAGAGAATAATAATTTACTTTTTGGACTGACAAACTATACTTCTGTGTGATCACCATCTAGACTAAAAGCTTTAGGAATCCAAAGTGCAACATATAATAAGTACCCTGTATCAAGATTGATGCGAAACAAGTGATATTTGACCTTTTTAGAGAGGTTTTGCAAAACAAACTCCACCTCGGGGCCATTTGGGTGCAGGAAATGGGCGTTTTTGCCGTTTCTCTGGAACCCATTGGTCGATTTTGATGATTGACATCTCTTTTTAACCGCTAGAGCCAATGGAACCGAGGGAAAGTTCCACGTACACACACAGGTTACCAAATAAGGAGTGAGAGTGACGCATAGGCAAAACCGGAGCTGCAACACACTCTGGCTACCATTAGCAGCTAATTTGTATTCTCCGATTTTTGCAGAAAAATGTAATTATGAATTATCAATAAGTGTTCAGTGTTAATTCAAAGTGACAGACACATTGGATTAACCTTAAGCCGCGTTTTTTCTCGTTTTAATGCCATTGAACACGACTTTTGATCAGAATAACAGCTAAGGTGAGCATATCTCTGTGTTTTGCTACCTAAAGCTACGTGTCTGTATTTGCTTCAACCTGGTCTCACCAGAATGCGTGACTCCACCACGACTCCTTAACACCGCATTGCGTGGTGGAGTCACGAACTTTGCTACATTTACGTGTCTGCAGTGTTTCCCCTAGGATGGAGTCATAGCAGCGGTGCTAAGGCACGTGGGCCCAGCATAATGTGAGCGCGGAGCGCGTGGAATTTTTTAGTGTGTGCACGTGCGAAGTGGGCCCCGCCAATTTGTTTCTATGTGTCTGCCAGCACAAGAAAGGCCTAGTACCAGGGCCGGTTCTAGACAATTTGCTGCCCTAGGCGAGATTTGTAAAGAATAAATAAAAAATCTCTACAAAAGGCAAATACACTACAAAAACAGAAACGTATTGACATATGTATTCATTATTGTATGAACATGTTCGTGACTCCACCACGCAATGCCGTGTTAAGGAGTCGTGGTGGAGTCACACATTCTGGTGAGACCAGGTTGATTTGCTTCCCCTGTCACAAGTTCTGATCGCTCAGTGATGATCCTTTTATTTCTATAATCTCTGGACTCTCAGGATGTTATCTAAACTTGTTTGTGCAGATCCAATAAGTATATCGATCGGTATAGCTAGAGTTCTGACGGCGTTAAGATTTTTTCGCACAGGGCTAATTCAGAGGCTCAGCGTTAGCCTTGTGTTTTTTTTTGCAAAAAATAAATAAAATCATCAGTTAGCTGAGTTTCTTCCCGTTACATGGATATGAAACATTCATAGTTTATTAAATATTAAGAAGCCATCAGACACTGTTGCTTGCAGATGTTGTGGTTTCAGACCCGCCGAAGGGTCCGGCATGTGTATGCTTTTCAAAAGTTATTTGTTGATTGCACAGTCCTGGTAAGAATATGGCTGGCATGTATACATAAGATAACCAGTCAATGTGCTTGTTTTTTGCCAGGTTGGCAGCAGACTGGTCCTCCAGACAACCGGACTTCTGATGATCGTCCTGGGGATCTTTGGGAAATTTGGAGCAGTTTTTATCACCATACCAGACCCAGTCATTGGAGGAATGTTCCTCGTTATGTTTGGAATGATCGCAGCAGTGGGGATATCCAACCTCCAGGTAAACACATTTCAATATTTTAACATACAGTATCAAATGTTTTTTTGTGGACACTGTATCCAAAACATCCCTTAGACGCCAGCCTTCCTTGGGAAATGAATACTCTGAGACACAATACTCATCCACCCTGCTAAGAGGCCCATGAACTGAATACTGAGTCCAGCTGCTTCTAGGTGTGCCGCTCTGGCCCTTTGACTTTTAAAATCTAAGATAAAACATAAGATGTCTAAATGGATCTATTAAAAAAATATATTATTTAATTTGGTAGCTTAAAGTGATTTAGAACATAAATAAATATTAAAAGTTTGCAAATGAACAAATCAAAACAGAAACATATTATAGTAAAGACAGTGAAAAAAAACAAAAAATAAATAAATAGGTTTTCTGGTGTTTTTATTTGTGAGACAATTTATAGATTTTTTATCTTCCCGGTCATCTGTATATATATATTTTTTTAATGATCTAATACTGGTTTATTTCTATTTTGAGATATTCATATTTTAGAATGGTTTATTTCTCATCTTTTAATTTGTTATTATGTGCAATGCCTTGTTTTGTTTTATGCTGCTACAACGAAAACATTTCCAAAATTGGGATTAATAAAGTACATTTTATTTGATCTTTAATCTTAAAAAATGAAAATCAGACGGCTGGTAGTTAGAGATATATTAAAAGGATACCTATTAAAGTGTGTTAAAATATGTCCACTTAGTCAGCAAGTCTTCAATCAAAATCTACAGTGTGCCATATTTTTCGGGGGGGTTACAGGTCTAAGTAGCAACCCCAACGTTTTTTGTTTTAACTTAGGGAATCGTTAAAAGAGCAGCTGTGAAATATCTTGGGGTTCCTCAAGGTTCATAAAACAATATGGAACCCAGAGGTCGCGTTAACCTAATATATTCCGTCTATGACGGAATTCTTTTGGCAATGACGGAAAAATCTGAAAGCAGTCCGTAAATTTGACGGATTGGAACAAACTCAGAACAGCGCTAAAGTTTCCCCGCAGCAGGGCTCCGGTGTTAAGCCCTGATTTCGTTTCCAGACCTAACTATGCCGTACAAATCATTGAAATGTCTGGGAGTTTATGCTTTACGCTGTGGCGCGCTCCCGCGAGGTGCAGTGGGCATACACAACACGGCTTAACACCGGCGCTAACATTTCACGAGCCCCCCCCCCCGGTCAGTTGTGTACAGACCGACGGGTAATAATGGATTTTGACGGAAATTTTACGATCCTGTCCGTCAAAATGACGGGCAGCGAAAAAGTCTAGCGCAACCTCTGATGGAACCTGTGATATAAAAAGAGGAAAAAGCCATTAAGTACCTTAAAAATAAGAGAGAGACTTTAAACCTTTCAAAGCGGTGCAGGGAGCCACTTTAGTTTGTGTAAGACAAGTTATATGATCCCCAATTTAATGTATTGTCTGAACCCTGGCAGCAGCATTGTGATTGGTTCGTAGCTTTGCAATGGCTGCTGGTAGGCAACAGTGGTACAGTAGTCAAGAAGAACAAAAACAAACTTTTTAGCATCATGATAGCTCAGTCGAGGTCTTCGCTATATTGCGTAAAAGGTAAAATCCGGTTTTTGTCGAAAATGTAAAAGAAGCATTACAATTGAGTATATTTTCCTGGCAAAAAACGTTTACAGGATTTCCTACTTTTCTCATACAGATAAATAAAAAAGGGATATATTGACCTTTCTTTTTGTCGCTGCTTTTAATTGAACTATTCATATCTTAGACTGCACCTTAACTTTTATCCATGTATTTTTTCTTTTAATGTTTATTTTATTAGCTTTTCTTTTTAATGACTGATTTT